GCACAATATATCGGGATCAACATCAGTGTTGATTGATGTTAGTCTTTTTTTTTTAACCTGTCGGTGTCGGTCCAATAAGTAAAACGGGGTTGATATGATTTGAACAGCTGACGTTTATTTCCATTTTGTTCCAGTTTGTACATGTGTTTGGCCTTGTGATATTTGTCCAGTCATGTGACAGTGAAACATTATAGGACTGTTGGGGTGATCAGTTGAAGCAGAAAAGCAATGTAGGTGGTTTGATCGAAAGTGTAGGGAGATGTACACATCGGTAAATATCGGTCATCAATATCAGCCCAAATGTTGCAATGAAACATTACATTTTGGGGAATAAATAAACATTTTTGTTAAAATAAATTGCACATTGATTGCAGTGATGAAAGACATGCAAAAAAAAAAAAAAATCATAAGAAATACATGATCTGATTATATTACAATCTGTTGCATTTACAAACACATTGACATGGCATTAATAATTGCAGTTTCTTATATTGTGCAGTCCTCAACAAAACCTACTTAATCAGATGGATCAGTAAATAACTCTATGCAAAGGTCATGTGTGTTAGAAATTGAAGCAGCTTCAGTATTTAAAACGGTCCAATCCTGGGATAATAATTATATATATATATATATATATATATATTTTATAGATGCTACCATGAAATTTTTAACAAACATTCTGGAGTGATTGACTAGTAACAGTTGTTTTATTCAGCCAAAATGTCACGTTCGTAACGTAGATTGTAATTTTCCCACAGTTTAAAAACGGCAACGTCATTATTTGCTCTGAAGCAGAAAAACATTCTGTCTTGTACAGTGTGTGAGCACACTCTTCTCAAAAAGTACATTCTATGCAGGAATGTCCTGTTAAGCTCTGTGTTGTAGGATTGAACATTAGAAAACATAAACCCGCCTTAAAAAGTCTGCAAACATCAGTGAGAAAATCACAAATGTCATTTTATAATTATTTACAGTGTGATGTTCAAGAATTAGCAGAAAAATCTTAAGAGGTTCTGAACTGAAGTAGAAATAAGCAAAAACAAAATTCTGATGCAAAAATGATGTTATATTTATTACTGTTATTAGAAAGCAAAATAGTGTTTCAGAGCAGAGGAGTAACTTTTTGGAGGAACTGAAACATAATCACAACATGGAACTGGTTTTTGAAGTTTTTTTAAAATTAGGAATATAACAGGCAAGTTGCTTATTCTTTACAATGCCAACACATATCGACAGACACAGAATATCACACATCCTTCACCATACCTGGCAGTAAGCATGTTTAACTCTTACTAAACTCACCTGAAAGTCTTTCTAAAAAGCTCAATCTGATTTGACCACGGCACACAGTTCTGGTTAAAGTTCTAGTAAAGTTGAAGAAACCCGTTTAGGTGAGCGATGGTAGAACATCTCTGTGACGTTCTCTTGTCTTTACAGTTTTGAAGAAGAATTGGCCTCTCTATCAAATCATTTGTATACTTCAGTGAAACAGAAACTTTTGCCAAAACTGGCAGAATGGTTTGGTTATGTGGAATTTACTGGAATTATTATGGGCGTCAATAGTTATTTTGGTCTTTGCTGGGGAAGATGCGGCTTTTCCCCCTCTCTCTATGAGTAAATGTACTTAAAGGCTGGATTTTTCAGTTTATGCTATTTATGCTATGAGAAAAATTGTTTAGTGTAAGGCTTTTTGCTTATCTGTATCAGGGAGGAAATGGTTGCGAAGGGAGCTGTATTTCTGTTTTGAAAAAACAGCTACATAACAGCTATGCGATTATCTTTGAGATAGAGACCAATTATACTGAAACATATAACGGAGAAATAAGAAAAATAGTGAAAAGAGGGAAGTGATTTAAATAAGGCCTTTTAATAGTAGAGTTTCTTGGAAATCGTTTCCATTCTGTGTAGAAAACTGAGCCTAGATTCTCAGTTCTCGGTCTTCTAGTGACTGTGATTGGTTGATGCAGAAAACAAAATAAGACAAAACAAACAAATACGCTCCCAGTAGATTGATAGGACTTTACAGATAACTGAATCCAGACTGGATGACGATGAAACTAAGCGACATTAAATTAACTGTCACACAGCATCAAAATGTCTGATTGCACTTTATTTACATCCTCATCATTGTTGTGATTTGTCATGGCTTCTCACCATGCGGGTCATTTTACCATGTCCTCTATTTGATATCAATGTTGACGCTCTGCTGTCTTGTCAGCTATTCACAGTGATTACCTGCTGCTTAAAGGTCTAAGATGCTTTGTGAATATTGTTATTTTTTGAAAGGCAATTCTGTTTACAAAGTCTTCATAATCCATTTTATTTAAGGTTTCGGATTAGTGTGGTTTTAATTTCCTTTTTATTTTTTGTTGTGTTTTAATCTGGATATCTAAAATGTCTTCAAAGTATTTTAGTATAACTTGCAATATTATGCCACTTCATTTCATATTAGTCTTAAAACAACATTATTGACTATCACAATAATTTCTGAGACAATTTATTGTCCAGATGTGACAGTTATGCTGTTATATTCTTTATTTCTATCCCTTGTTTTCGTGCACACCTTCTGTCTACAAGCAGAAATTTTTTTTTTACTGTAGGTCAAACAACACGAGTCTCTAACGGCGGCTTTGTTTGTTTGCAGACGGTGCGTTTCAGAATGGCACAGCTGATGGACGGTGCCGGCAAACTGAGCTGGGTTCTCCTCAAGTCTGTGATGCGTTTCACCTTCATGTTCTTCAACAACTGTGTGGCCATCCCGTCCTACTGCTTGTACCTGCTGCTCCTCCAGCCGCTGAGAATATGGGACAGCTCCGCTTTCTGGCACATCGAAGGAGTCATGTTCAAATGGCTGCTGGCCATGGTGTCTTCGTGGGGCTGGATCGCGGGCTACACAGGTGAGGCGCTTCGACGGTACCGAGGCGGATTTGCGTGCTGTCCCCTCTGGTCTCAGTTTGCGCTCGGTCTGCTCGTTTTCCAGGTTTGTTTTTGCTGAAAAATACAAGCGCATAGATCGAAGTCACTAGCAGGAGACGGACAGATGGCTGAATACAAATGAGATCGATGACGAATGCTGATTCTACGTTTTTTTTTTTTTTTTTTTTTTATATTCCTTATTATCTAAGTAACTAATTTCATTTCAAAGCAAATATTTTCATGATCAGGTGGCTGAATGTAAAGTTGTTGTTTTCTGTTGCGTGAATATCTTGAAGTGACCAGGGCAGCTGTGGTGTTTGGTTGCACACAGCGGAGAGCAGAATGCTTACAAATTGCTAAGAGGGAAACATGGAGAGCAACAAAGCTCTCTGATGAATAATTGAATGGCTTCAGCATATAGAAAGCAGTTGCATTGAGATATGTTCATAATTGGGTTAAACATCTTGAGACTGGCTGAATCATGTGAACTGTGACTTTTATTTTAGATGATCAAAGCTCTTCTTTCTTTGGGTGTGTAAACTGTTTTGTTTTGCTCATTTCAGCTACATGGTCTGTTCATATTTTTTTTTTCTTCTTTGTGAAATGTCAAAAAAATTCTATTCTGAGCCAAAGGTGCTTCTTATGCAGACAGACTTTACCTTGAGGCAAATGTCACATTATTCCAAAGAATGGAAAAGAACAGTTTATGTATCATAGCTGATGCAAAAAGTCACCATTCTCCAGTTTTAAGGAATCAGCAAATCTTGAAAACAGTCCTGAGTAAAAGCACGTCCTGTTGCTCTTAAATACAAATTCTGCTGTCTAGCACATTTTGATCATGCAAGCAAATGCCTCTGTTTCATGGCTCAAAAGCAGAATAAAGGATTTGGAGTGGCCTAGTCAAAGTCGAAGGATAAAAACTGAACGAGTTGTTGAAGCCTGACTTTACACAGGCCTTTCATAATCAAAAAACTTCAAGTGTGACTGAATTAAAACACGTCTGCAAAGTACCTTTGTGGTGATTTTCTTAAAATAAAGATTATAAATGCTTGATGGCAGTTGTTGCAACAAGCGTGTTTTAGGTTTTACTTTTTGACATGGCACCTGGTTCGCTGAAATGTCTTTTTATTTACTCAAGATATCTTTAAATGAATTTAAAATTTGCATAAGAAACATTTAAGTGCACCAAGACGGAAAAATAAAAGGGACCAAAAGCACTTTTTAAATGAACTTTAGTTGCTTTATAGTCATGGTAATTGTGTTGCTTCATGACCCACCTTTTAAAAGCTGAGTGGTGGAACTTCGTCACACACTGCAGCTCTGTTCATGTTTAGATTTTGAGCAACGCTGGATTGGTTGAGCGCAAATGATTCAGTTTGAATGCATGTATCGTTACTTCCTTACTGCCAAGGAAAGGAAATGATGTCGCGCTGATGACACACCAGGGATCCGCAACTCCTAACGCTTACTGGAGTCTTAATGTGCGGCTGGAAAAAATGGTTTTTGAACCACGTTTCCTCTTTGTGTCTGTCAACCAAAGTTTTTAAGTTGATCAAAGATGCAACAGTCCAGTTTTAAAGAGCGATTGAGAGATCTTCACTGATATTTGATGAGCAGATACTATACATTTCTGAACAGAAGAGGTGAAATGCAACTATGATGAGGATTGAATTCTTACAAGGTAAGGTCACATGGTATTTTATTCACAATACAAACATGTGATGTTGAATGTTAGACGTTGCTTAGCTGCTCTGACAGATACCTTGTTTGTGTTGCTATTAGATATAACAAAATTAACTCTAGCCAGGTGGGATAGAAAAGCAAATATCGGAGATTTAAGTTGTTCTGAATAGCTTTGTTTCAAGTAAAACTTTATCTTTACCCTGACCTTATTGACCTGAACAATGTGTGAATGTCAGACACAATCAACTAACATTTGCTCTGATTACTTAATCAAATCTTCAATGCAAGTCAACATTAAACTCCTCTTTCTTGCCTTGACTTATTGCTAAAAAGTTGAAGTTAAATCATGTTAGCTGGAGTAGCAGAACAGTGGTGCTTTGTAAATATCGGATAACTCAATTGGTGCTAAATGGTATCTGTCAACTGTGTGCACTATGCTCTGAATGTTTAATGTCAGTGATTAAGCAAGGAGGTGAATGCACTTAAAGTCCTCCGTGTTTATCACTGATTGGTTCTTCAACTTTAACTTGAAACTCTACCAAGAGCTGCATCCTGTTTTCCTAATTAGACGCAAAGTGGTGGGAGAATGAGCCTACACAGGCCTCTCGTGCTTCTTCTGTGGGCATGCTATCGATGCCAGTTGTGGGGCGTAGCTCAGCTTTCAGTGAGTTGGATGGAAAATGTAAGTCATTCATTCATGTGTAATACAACTGAGCCTAATCGGTGTTAAGACGCTTGCTTGACAGGAGGAGGACCCGACCCAAGCCTGGCAAACATTGCGTCACATCAGAAACCTCTTCCTAAGAACGCACTTTTTTTATTTTAGCATGGAAGCTAATGGCATTATAATGTCACCTGGCAGATGTTATGGGAACATTCACTCCAACCCTGTTTAGTGTGCTTTAATCAAACTCCAGGTCGTTTGTTTAGAACGTCCGTTTTTTCTCTTTTTTTTTTTTTTTTTTTTTTTTTTTTTGGTGGTGTGAATGTGTAATCAAACTCTTGTTTTGAACCAAAAAAGAAATCGTACAGCTGCTAAAATCTGATGCTACGCCAATTTTGTTTACATTTTTCAAAAAATGAAGTTGTTCTCATGTCCTCTTCTGAGATTTTCCTGTTGTTTCATTCAGTGGTTCTTGGTGTAGCGCCTCCACAGGTGAGGGGGTAAACAGGTTTTTCTCCTGGTTTGGTTCATTTGACATGCAGCGTGAAAGTGACCTGCACCAGCTTAAGATGTAAAAAATGGTGCAAACAATTGGGCCGCCAATAGAACCAAGTCTAACGGATTATCAGGTGTGAAAACACCCTAAGAATAAATAACCAAACAAATTATAAACTTTCTAAAGAGACATGCCTAAATCTGCTGTCATTGTGCCAAGTTTAATCCAAAGCTAGTTTGTATTAGAAAATCTGTTGGACAATGAGTTGTATTTTGACTCATTTTGACCTCGTTCTCAATGAAGTTGGAACTTTTTTCCCCCTATCGCTCAAACGCTCCACACTGCAGTGGAGCACATGGCGTGAAGCTAGCAGAAGGAAGATTTCGGTGTATTTTGCATGAGTGGGTGGTCTGTCAGACCTGTGAACGAAGATCAAAGCAATCACTGAGCACCCAGGCATCGCACACTTGTTTTCCAGTTAGGAGTTGCATCTCCTAGTCTTTGATCATACTGGTAATGGTGTTTGCATTGGAAGCAGTATAACATGGATCTTAATCTCCTTGCATATACACACATTTAACCAGACCTTGTGATGTGTCTGCAGCCCACTCAGGCTCATCTTTAGCCTCTCTTTATCACCTCTGGGTTTCTGGCAGGACTCAGATTAATTATTTCTTACGTATTCATTTAAACAAAGCAGTGATTCACTCTTTTTGTTGATTCACAAAACCCTTTTGCTGTTTCCATGTTTGTTGAAATCACTATTTTCTTTTTTTTTTTTTTTTTTTCAGGACAGTTCATAAATAATTTATAGATTTCAAACAAGTAATCAAATCTTTACCTCAGTTTGACATAAAACATTATCTTCCACACTTTAAGTTTGATTTGAGTGACTTTCCAGGTCTGGAGAAGTGCAGCAAAAATAAAACGGAGCAGTACTGGGTTAGTGACCAAAACCGCCTTGAGTCGCTGAAACTTAGGAATACTTGGGACCTGCACAAAAACACTTATAACCACCTGTATTAGTAGTTTATACACCAAATAACAGAAGCCTTCTTGTGTATTTTCTAGGCTGAACTCTTGGAGATGTGAAAACATTTTCAAAACTTACATAAATTGAAAGCTGATACAAAACCAGCCAGATCTTGAACAGACAGCTTTCTGAGTGTGTAGTCCAGTATGGAGAGAGAGTTGGTGAACTAAAAAAAAACTGAAGATGTGCTGGAACATCTCGAGATGATTGTGTAAAGAGGGATGCCTTATCTACAAAGAACACAATGGACAACCCTGATCAACCTCTTCTTAAGACTCTGACACAACAGAGCGTTTTCAGTCAGGGGCTTCTTTAGAGCTGCCGCAACCAACTGCTACAGGAAATCCTTCTTGCCCACAGCTGAACCCATTTTAAATAACTCTTTGATGGAACTTTAATAATTTACCTTTAAGATTAATGAAGTGGCTTGAATTGAGTCCAGCAAATCAGTTTTGGTGGTTGAAAACTTGACTGGCATTTTAAACCCAATTATCATCTCGGATTAATTGCTCTTTTGACCTTTATGGACGAAGGATGGTCAGACTTAATATTTCCTGGCAGTAGAAATTAAAGCACAGAGTGACTCCTTCTTTTGAAGCGGCAACAGACTGTGCTTTTTATTTGTTAAAGCCTCCATACACCCACAAAGCGCTACCAGTCACTTGGCTGATCAGACCTAATCACTGGACTGTGTAGGTGGGGATAAATCATATCCGACAGACATTTCCTTGATTATTCCCCCCTATCCCCATTCTCCGAAAACAAATAATTTCTAAAGCTTGTATATTACACTAAAGAGCTTTGCAAATCAAATGTCCTGTTTGTAGATTCTTCTGAAATGTTTTAACTGTGTCGAGCAGCTTTGTATTCTTGCTCTGGAGGCTTCTACATATGAAAAGTAGGCTTCAGTTGCTCGGTCAACGCACTTTGATAAATGTTTCATGTGGCTTGTACATGAAAGCTTAGTGTAGGCTGATTGTAAGTCATGTCTTCTTGTACAAGTGAAGGAGTGAACCACTTTAGAATAATGGCCCCGCAGCTCATGCTTAGTTGAGAGGGCGATCGCATGAATGGGAATTAACATCTCTTTTGTTCTGAGGTCCTG